TCACCTCTGCCGGTATATGAACTCATTTTCCAAGATTTATTTTCTTTGGGCAGAGGTGGGCCGAGAAAGAACCGGGGAAGGTGATTAGATAGGACATGCACAACTTAAACTTACTGAGGACATGTAGGAAGGTTTGGAGATCGAGGATTAGAGTAGAAGGTTAGTAGCTAGCCGAGTGTTATCGCATTTTATGTGGGAGATGGGGGGCTGGCCTCCTCCTTTCCTCTTCTCTTTATTAGCGGTATTATCAAGTAATCACGTAGTCTCTTATTCTTCAATTTATATTACTATTTGTTGCTTCATTTGTTTTGTATCTTGCTATTTTGTTCTCATATTTTTCTTGCAATCATGCTTCAATTTTTATTTTTTTTGAGCCGAGTGTCTACCAGATACAGTCTCTCTGCTCCCACAAAGTTAGGGGTAAGGTGCATACATTCTAGCCCCCACAGACCCCATTGGTGGGATTACATTAGCTATGTTGTTGTTGTTGGTATTTCTCACATTTTTCATGGCTGCCAGCTGAATTTGTAATAACAGCTCTAACAATACTATATTGGTTCATCTTCACTTACAACTACTTCCTTCCCAAAAGGAATGCCACTCTTATTAGTGAGTGAATCAAAGAGTTTTACTTTGAGTATGATCATTTCAGACTATTTTAATACTATCAACTCCGAAAGTTGTAATTATAATAGTTCCAAATTCATACTGAAAAACACATGCTTAAGGAGTACAAACTATTACAGAGCAAATGTGGAATCAAGCCTAGCCCTCTTTCAAATTAAAAAAAAATCCGAAAACTCTAAACAATTCAAGTTTCTTCTTTCATTTCTTCTATTTTATTTAATAAAAGTATCAAGTAGAACCTGGATATACATGCAGGAGATACAGCAGCGACGGGTACTGAATCATTGCCGTCGGAATCAGGAGGGTCAACGTTGAGGTCAGCCAAAACGATTTTCGACGGCTGATACTGAAGTGGTGGCTGTAACCTCGAGGTGCCGGAGTTCCTATCGACGACGGGATATTCTGACTTCATTGAAGGAATTTTGACGGAGTTGGACGCCGGAATTTCTGACATTTTGGACGCCGAACGAAAAATCTTCCGCTGAAAAGGTTCCTCTTTGGAATGAAGTTTATCTTTTGGTCCCTGACTTTTGTCTAAATCCAGTTTGCTCACTATGCTAATCTATTATGTGTATTGGTACCTAAAATTTTATCTGAGATTCAATTTGACCCTGATATTTTATCTGAGATTCAATTGCATTAACTATTGCATACATTGTAATTTCACCAACACGTGTCATCTTGAAAGTAAGGCATGTCATTTGCTATAAAAGTGATTTGATAGTCTAAAATTAGTTATATCATTCTATGGACATCAGTTAAATTCATTTTATTTTCGACCTATTTATCCTAATTATAACGTACACTGATAAAATAAAAATAAATTTTCCACTACTATTGTTGTAATTTAATCTTTCATCAAATTATGTATAATCTATCTTTTATACCTATCTAATTTCACCTATTACGAACAATTATCTGTAATTAACTATATTTAATTTAGTTTACGCACTATCACTATTACCTGTTTAACTTTATCCCATAACTTATATAGATTTTTTAATCAAAATAGATGCAACGAGAAAAAGAATAATAAGTGATCACATAACAATAAACACCCAAAACAAGTGTATCGATCCAAAAACCTAACAAAGTGGCAAACTTAAAGCCCTAATTATACTAATTAATTAAGATCGAGGTTGAGGTTTGTTATGTGGCTTTTCAATAAGAGGGGCCATGCCAATGTGTTCATTAGATCTCAACAAATTGTTGGTAAGGTATATCATTTATATATCCTTAATTGAACAACTAGAGAATCCACAATTCTTTCACGGAATCAAATTATTTCCATGTGAAAATTCATCTTCCAACGTAAGGATAAACACGACTCTATATTCTAGTTAATTAATAAGGACTAACATTTTAAATTAAGTCGATATTGAGGATGGATCACTTCCTTCTTTATGATAATTATTGAGTGTGACTTCAATTACTAGAGTATATTTACATGTATGTGTGCTTGGTTGATCAAATTTTAATTGATTCGCTCTTGTAAATAAGACGTTTCGATTTGAAGAAGCTCTCTATATACAACAATGAGCTCGGATTATCATACATTACAAGTCAAATATCACCTGAAGTTTCATTACCATCAACCGGCCTATCATAAATAGCTATGAGGATTAGTGTATGGAATTGCGAATTCACAAACAGACACATGTGTTTCATAACGTTGTGCATTTGCAAATTTGAATTCAAAATGCAAAATTTGAGGTAGTTTTAATAATTTCCATATCTATATAAGTTACGTTGTAAAAAATATTGAGTTCAGTTAATTCATATTATACCGGCTTCTATAACCACTCCAATTGGGACCTTTGTGTTGGCAGTTTGTCATGTTGGCAAGGTGATCGAATGGCAATAATGTCAAGCGTGGTGCTTCAAAGCATCACTTCTCTTGCTATTGGGTGTGGAGTTACGGCGAGGTTTGCGGCCCAAAAATAAGATAAGTTGATTGAGCCTAATATTGAGGAAGACATTTTTAAGTACTTGAAGATACCTAATTAGCTAGGTTAGACCCATTTTTAAGCACATGAAACCTTGATTTCTAGACAAAAAAAAATTATGTGCTAATGTCAAGAAAATATGTGAATGAGGTTTAAGCTTTAATGCCTAATTATATAACATGTCAGGAGTTGTTTGGTAGCTGGTTTGGAGGTGAGTTATGCAGATATTAAATTTTGCATAAGTAATATCATATTTGGTAGTTGGTTAGGAGGTTAGCTATTCATCAATAAAATTACTACGACGTCTCGTTTGCAATTTAGAAAATTAAACCTTCGTAACTAATGTATAAGTTATTTAGAAAAATTAGTGTAGTATTTTATCCACGATAGAAGGAAGAATATCTAATACGAATAACTAAAAATAATTATTTCCACTTATTTGTTCAATTTATGAAATAAAAAGAAATCTATACGACTATACCTCTAATTTAAATTATTTAGTGTAGTAAAAATATACCGCTAATTAAATTTTTTGTTAAAAATATGTCAATCAACAAGATCAAGTTACATAAAAGGCAGGGAGTAAGAAATTTCAAACCACAGAAATTATTGTGTCCCTAAAAGTAAAACAATTGCCTCTCATCACTAGTAACTAAAATTCCAGTTAGGTCAATATTTTTTCCTTTTTTGTGATTGTCTTCCTCATGATTAAATCATGTAAGTCCTAGGGGCTAAGAACACTATAATTAATTATATCAAACCACTGTAAATTGTAATTATATATTTGACCACTGTTTGCTTCAATTAAGGAAGAGAATTTGGAAAAAGGATAATGTAAATTTTGATATTCCAATTTGATATATATAGGCCGTACAATTACTCTCTCTCTCTCTCTCTCCATATTGTAACTACTTCTCATATGAAAATTAAAGTAGTTTACTTTTATGATGAAAATTTGCAGAAAGCAAACTTTGTCTCTCATCAGTGAATAGGAAGACGAAAAATTATTGTGTTTTTATAGAAAAACACTTTTTAAAAACTTTTTAGAGTTAAGAATATAGTCTCTCCTCACACCATCATTGTTGCTTGGCTCGACTTCAGGAGGGATAAGTCGAGTTGGGTTAAAAGGTATATAAGCTAAAATTTCAAATCAGATACTCTTAATTAACTTGTAGCATCGTTAGACTTTAGGAGTAATTTCTTTTTAGCATCTCAAGAATTTCACTATTTTAGTATTCCAATACTTCCAAAATCTTTTATTTTTCTCAATAAAAGAAGAAATTAAAAACTTTGGACAATTGAAATGACATTAGTAGTTACAACTTACAACTGACAAAAAAATAGAGTAAAGATTGAGCAATGCACGACGGTTTTGTCATTATGCTTGAATACTACTGTGCCTTAATTAACAACACTACATGATAAGAAGTTGTTAGCAGCAGCTTGTGTTTTTAATTAATAATTAATCCCCTTTCTTTTAAAGAGTGGGAGTTTAATTAATTATCATTATATTGTTAATTAGGGACATCATTGGAAGGTTATTAGGTTAATAACATGTTTAATTAGTTATGGTGCATATTACTAAGGACAACATGGCCTGCAAATGCAATAATCCTCAAATAGCTAGGATGCATGCCCATTGGCATGATGAATATTGGTAGTTGAAATGGCTCTATCACTATGTATGGTTTTGGTTGATATTGCTTTGAATCTTTACATTTGTCTTCATTAATATATCCATTAGTATACGTATTTACGTGATGGGCAGATAATATTAAAATATTATTTTTAATTATTTTAAATTATGATATCTTATTTGAACATGTTAAATCATATTAGCTTACAAAAAGTCCAATTATCGTAAATGCAGTGGCGGAGTCAAAATTAGATAATTTATACATGGTTAAAATAACTTTTTAGGTATATATAGTAGATGTCAAACCCCCTTCGACTACTTCGTGTGTCTATTTTTCAGATTTTGAACCCCCTTATTGGAAATTCTGGCTCCGCCACTGCGTAAATGTACTTATATTTCCTCCTCCGTCCCCCCTCCCCCAAACCCCATAACCAATTCTATATGCCAAGTCGCTTTTCACTTGTCACTTGACTTAACCACATTGCAAACTACTCTCCTTTATTATATATATCGATTATAACCAATTTTTTGTCCTTTAGACTCTTTTTGTCACCCCTTTTTGTCCTATATATTATATGAATCAATGAGAGAGGAAGACAAAAACATTCACAAGATTCAAATTTATAGCAATACATATTTAATTATATTGAACACTTCTGGAGTACTTTGCAGAGGTTGTATTTAATAATCAAGTCAAAAAGGCATAAACACAAAGATGCCAAAAAAAAAGTTGCACAATAGAGTTCCTGTCTTTTCCCCCTTCAATAAAGTTCTTCCTTTTTTCATAAAAGTAATATTTTCTCGTCTTTGTTAGAAAACATTTTAATCAGCTAGCAATGAGAACCTTCCCGACAACTTAGGGCACCGGCCCCGGACACAAGGGAACTTATTAGTGAAGAAGACTTTGCACTCAAACTTGAAGCCTTAGCATAATTTGAAGAGGCTCCAGCTCCTGATTTTACAAAAAATGCACCATTTAACATTAAGTCACCATCACTCCTCCAATTCCAATTCTTCCATTCACTTTCTGGTGAAATTTCATGCTTCGTCACCTATACATGAAATTTAATTTATGATCTAGTTATGCAAGGGATTATAATGTATACATTATTTGTGCACTAATAAATTAATAATAATGTACGATATGTTGTTACCTCTTTGCTGAATCTAATATCAGAAGCAAGGAATCTATTGCCCTGGCTATTGATGGTGGGATTTGCACTACCACCAATTGCATACATTTCCCAGTGAGTATAGTCATTGTTCACCACATGAAAATAACCATGTCTACATCTGCATCCATGTTTCAAATATTAACCCAACAATTTTATCAAATCATATAATATATATTTGACTAAACTTTCATAATTTGTTTATTTTAATTAAAACTATGATTTTGTTAGAAATGTTTATCTTACTTTGTCAAGATTTCAAAAGTCTTCCTGAGATTCTTTTTTTTTTACGTTTTACCTAAAAACTTGGTCAAACATCTCAATTTTCTAAAATAAGAACTTCTGTTACAAAAATAAAACTTTTGACTTTTCAGAAGTTTAGACAAAAGTGTTACTTTATACTTCCTAAGTCGCATTTTATGTGAATGTGTTTGATTTATAAGCATACAGTTTAAGAATGATAAAGAGATTTCCTAAAACCTGTGATCTAAAACAAGTCATAAATATTTGTGTAACAGACTATAGATTATCTTATTGAGGGAGAGTGCAATTCTCAACTGATTTTATGTGGTAGTTAAAATGTACTAGACCAAATTTTGGTGCCTATTAAACACTACACCAAAAAAAAATCTTTAGCGGCAATTGATTAACAACAATAGTTTAATTACCGCTAAATATATCTCTTTAGAAGCAATTGACACTCTTTGTAAATGTCTCTAAAGCTTATAGGGATATTGAATTCAATGAAAATTATAACTAATATCGATATAAGCTTTAACACTCTCTGTTAATTAATGTATCGTTAAAACTGTTTTTGTTTATTGGAAATACTTTGGCCTAACACATCCATCATTTAATCTAACTAAAAATTATATTACCTTGGGATTCTTTGGACAAGGCCTTCTCCAAAGTGATTGAAAGCAATGGTTACTTGCATGTTCTTGTCTTGGACATGGGAATCACTATGTCCCAATAACATCACTTTATCATGTTTAGTCATGTAATTGTTAGATATGGTAATTGCTGTGGACCCCATTATAGCATCAATCAAACCATCAACACAATTAGACAAGGAACAATGATCTATCCAAATATGACTCCCACCAAAAATGGACACTCCATCACCATCTGATATAGTTCTCCACCCATAGTGATGTGGGGAGCTCCTCACCATAGCATTTCCACCTTGCTTACAATCATGTATGTGAATTCCATGGATGATAACATTGGTCACATATTGTATTGTTATGCATGGTCCACCTGAAAAATCAAATTCGTAATTTATAATAGTCTGTTTGATTAAATTTTTACCATGTTAAAAGTGCTTTCTCTTTTTTTAAGAAAGAATAGTTAATTCAGAAAATCGAGATGTTTGATCAAGTTTTTAGGAGTGACAAATAATTTTCCTCTAGAACCATTGTTGAAATCTTGGCCAACCATAAATTGATGCGCTAATTAATGTTGGCAGAAGCAGCGAAAGCCATAACATGGTGGTTACGAATTCGGTAAAATTTAATTATTTTGACTCAAATTCTTATTTGTGTATGGAGAAAGTGTTAAAAACACATTTTAACTATTTACTTTTTTTTTAATTTCAAACCTAAATTATTTGATGGATAAGAAACACACTTAAATCATTTATAAGTTTGAGGAACACACCTTTATTAATATGTGAATGCGTGTCTCTTTTAAAAATAAAAAAATTGTCACATGAATTACCACGTGAAAAACAATTCCATTGTGGCAACACATAACTAACAATTTCAAGTCTGTTTCTCAAACTAATTAGTGATAGTTTAGGTGTGTTTCTCACTCTCTCAATAGCTTAGACATGAATCTAAAAAAAATGATAGTTTAGATGTGTTTTTGACACTTAAATCAAAAAAATGTATCAGCAAAAAAAGCATGAACGAAAAAAATGATAGTTGTTTTTTTGACACTTACTCAATGCAAATATTTTTTTGAAACCAAACATCTGAAATTATGAGTTTAAAATTTAATATTCATCGAAACTTTAGTGCTCATATATATCTAATAATTCACCTGCAATGTGAACGTTAGCTCCTCTTCCATCAATAGTCTTGAAAGAGTTCATAATAAGTTCTTCTTTCAGTTGAATCACCATATCCCTAGCAAAAATAATCCATAATGGCTCATCTTGAATAACCCCATACCGGAGAGTCCCCGGTTTAGGGTTAACAGGATCGTCGTTACCAGAGTTGGTAACGACGTATATTTTTCCGTCTCTACCACCAACGGCATTTTTTCCAAAACCAATAGCACAATTAGCTAGCCTTTGACGGTTTTTCTCCCAGTTTGGATCACAACGCCAACAGTCATCTATAGGGTTTCCTGTCCCACAAGACAAATACCCTAAGTTCCTCCTTGACACATTTATGCTCCTACAAAGAAAAAAAAGTCAATCATGTTGAACTCTACGGGGAGTCACAATTTTAACTTTATTATGAATTTTGAATTCAATTATGTTGCTTAATATACTAGATATAAATAAATTGGGATTTAAAGTCCCGTCAGGTGTTTAAAGAGACATTTTTTTTAATGTGAAAGTGTTCGTAGATATGTTGTTTATAAGAAAGAAATAAACATTTTTTAAAATTGTGTAATTTCAAAATATAAAATATATGTTATTGATTAAGAGTAAAAATATGCAAGAGTATCGATCATTCTTTTTTAAATGAATCACTTGGAAGAAGTGATAAATAGTAAGTGGTCCTGCAGTACGCTATCCGAATTTAATTGAGATTTCTATGTAGATTCTAGACATCAAATGGAAAATCAAATAAAAATAAAAATAGTAAGGGCATGCATGTGTGCCAAATATACCTATGTACTTGATCAACAACATATTGATGATTTTGTAAGGGAGAAGAGGCAAGGAGTGAAGGAATTAAGAGAAGAGAGGACAAAAGGAAAATGAGAGAAAGAGAGGAGGTGGCCATATGTGTTATGTGTGTGTTTTCTCAATGTGGCAAAGTGTTTGAAGTGGGGTTTTAGAATCAAGAAAAATGAGGGAATATAAAGGAACTTGGGTTGGGACAAGAGGGAAAAAGAGAGGGAATTATAAAGAGAGAAAATCCAAGAATTTGGAGTAATTAATTAAACAAACTAGGTAGGGTATATTATGTTACATTTTTTAGGGAGATTCTTCTTTGGGAAGACTATTTCATATTGATAGTTTGGCTTTTGAGTATGCATTTGTAGATGGAAAACAACAAACATTATCATTTTTTGTTTTACCCATTGTTGTTATACATAATAACTCAGAAGGTCGCTTTACTATTAGTTTGTTATTAATTTATTTGTAACAAGAATATTACCCAACTATATAAAGTTCTTCTTCATATTATTTTTTTTGGGTGTAAAATAACTTCTCTTATATTGTAGTAGCACTAAACATTGACAAATTAATTAAATCTTTCCCTCTACGTTTCAACTTATTTAGTTTTCTAATATATATGCTTTGTAAAGAAAGTATATACCTTATTTCATTTCAATTTTTTGATCATGTTGTAGTATTTTTTTTAATCCACGTCACGCATGTAAAGCTTAGGGGAAGTATCTTTATCATTTGTCTCAATTTATATATATTTACCCTTTATAGAGAAGCAACCCAACTATAATTTGCTTTGGTAGTTTTCATTAGTCTCCAAGTGAAATAGTTATTACTTTATGTAGCACCCTTGACAAAACAGATAAAAAGAACTATCTATTGTTTTCCTCATCTTTTTCTGTTGAGTGGTTTGGTGGGGGTGGGGGTGGCCGGTGTGGGCCTAGGGGGAGGGGAGTGTGTATTACTTCTTAATGAGTTCTTTTAGCATTGGTTTGGTTTGGATGGGTATCAATACTGAACTATTTCCTATGTCTCAATTTATGTGACACAATTTGAATTTCGAGAGTCAAATAATTTATGTTTGACCTTGAATTTGAATGTGAGAATTTTAAGTCTTTTGAAATAAAATTTATATTTTTGAAAACTACGTAAAAAGTATAATGATGAGGGTTAATATCAGCCCTTTCATAACGAGGGTATATCAATTTTAAATGACAAAGTTGATGGACTCTTTTCCCCTAAAGTGGTGTTCCGTCATGCTTTTATGAAGAATGGGTCGTATAAAAGACAGCCCAAACTAAAACGGGCTAGTTAATGGGTCCGTATAAAGACAGCCCAAAATGAAACGGGCTAGTTTTACCTTCAGGCTTCATCAAATCTACGTTGGCCCATGGGCCTTAGGATATGGTCTCTAACTCTTTGAAGATCATATTCTGAGTCCCAAAGGGTATGGAGTCGTTTTATTAGGGAGGTTTTACTTTTTAATGTAGATTTTTTCGGTGTGAATTCGAATTTAGTCGGACTTCAATGTGGGTACCGGACATCAAGTGGAAAATCAAAGCAAAAAAATATCAAATTATTTTTGTCCCATTGTTTGATGTGGGACTCAACAACTTAAAAACATCACTAAGAAGTCGCTAGGTAAAGTGTATAAGTATAGTATTAAATATGATGAGTAATGCTGATATTATTTCTTATTCATTGTTTGATTTAGTATATTAAAAATAACATGTATTGAATAAGTACCTTGAATTTTTTTTATTGTTTACATAAATACCCTCTACAAATACATTGAAAAAGATGTAGAAATAATTTTGAGGAGCTTTTTTTTCTTTTTTATTTAATATACTATTTTCCACTTGCCTTTGTTAGGGAGTGTTTTATCCTCAATATAGAATTTTTCGGCGCAAATCCAGATTTAAGCAAGCTCTCATGTGGGTATTGGATACCGAATAAAAAAAAACTACGAAGAAGAGGCTTATATTCTTTAAGACACTGAATACTATCAAAACTCACGTAATTGTCCCTTTATTGGATATTACTTTCCCTATTATACAACTATTTTCTCAAACAGCAATTCATTATTTTTGGCTATTAATTAAAAATATAAACTTGGCAGATGAGGAATATTTTACTTTAAAATGGGGCAACACGAAACATATCATGATTCATATTCAACATAAAAAAAAAAGAATATCATGTCCACCGCCAAAGAATATTTTTCATGCATTGACTTCTTTTGATATCCTTGAAGTGTTAATGAAGCAGTTTTAATCTATGATTGGGGCTCAAAAATGCCCTTCAACTGGTAAAAATAATTTTAAAATATCCTTCTTAAGAAATATAGTCTAATTTTAACCTTGAAAGCAAATAAAGAAAGGAAAATCCATGTGGAAATATCTATTGTAGTATTTTTCTTAAATGGCCTCTAAATCCTGCATTAAAATTCCGATTAAATCTACGATAGTATTAGATGAACACGAGAATCAGACATGACAATGACCTTTAGCTATAAAATTGTTTTTGCGGTTGGTAAGCTATGAGAAGAATTTAAAATTTAAAATTCTTTTGTAATTCATAGTCTATTTTTTTTAATGTCTTGGCCAATTAACAGCTATAGAACAGGAAAAAATGGAGCTTATGTATTGAAAAATCATATTTGATGAATTAATTATTGCATTTTATAAGAGTATAAACAACTAGTAATGTATGTATAGAAATGTTAATGTATATATTAATTTTTTATATATAATTCGTCATTTAACAAGTGGACTACCATCACTTAAGAATGTGGTGTTGTAGATGAATTGCTCCTTCCTTAATATAATCAGAGGTCTCCAATTCGAGCCTTGTATATGAAAAAATGAGCTTTGAATATATGATTTTCTTGTTTGAACTATTTGATTGAGCATTCAATGACCATCTGCCCAGCTTTTAGGTCACTTGCGAAGGAAACAAAACTCTTAGTAAGGAGCACTTAATTCTCCCTAAATAGGGCTTTATGCGGCACTAATCTAGAATAGTCAGGCTTCAATGTAAATATCGGATAGATGAGAAATAAAAAAAGTGGAGACCACTTGTTGCCACAAGTTTCCAACAAGGCAATTATTTTTTGATAATAATATGAAACATGTGGAGAAAGGCTAACAAGTGTGGGGAAGGATTAGGATGACACGTAATTAGTGTAAGGCTAATTTATTTTCCTCCTCAAGAATTGGTCTTACCAGTTATTGACGACGTGGTCTCTTTATCATTTTATAAAACATCCGACAACTGTGGAACCAAACATAATTGAATTAATATTTTTCCATTTTAATTTTATAAGTGAACTTTTTTTATTTTAATATATAAGCAAAACAAGAGGAACACAAGTAATTGGACCATCATACTTCATACTCATTTTATTTGAAACGAGTGGACCATAAAAATCAAATAAGTAGTTTAAATTATTTTGTTTAATAGCATATTTTTTGTACAAAGTCAAGATACAATTAACAATTGTGATATGTGTTAATGTTAATTAATATGTTTGTCCTAAAATAAATGCTATCTTAACGAAAATTACGTCTATTAAAAAATTATTGAATATAATGTGTAATTTATTGAACTATCTTTTAATAAATGTCTCTTAAAAATTAAACACAATTATAAAAATGAGGTATAAAGATATAATTGGAATAACATATATACTTCACGGTTTCAATTTATTTGACCTATTTTGTTTTTACACAGAGTTTAAAAAAATAAAAATATTTTTAAAACTTGTGTTCTAAAATTATGTCATGTGAAAAGTTGAAATTAAAGAATTACTAAAAAAAAGGATACAATCATGCTTGACCGCTACTACAAAGAGTATTACGCCCTTGATAGTGAAATATCAATTGCTTGTTGAACATATATATGAATTGCGTGAAAGTAGGATACTCCAAATTTTGAAATTGAAAAGTAGGTCAAACCGGTTAAAACGAAGGAAGAGTTAATTTTTGTCTTGAATTTTGGGACTTACTTTATGTTGCTAAAGTAATATTTATTTTGAGACGAAAAATAGGTCATTTACACGGTAAATTAAATTCATATTTTATAGTTACACAAAAATAATACATCTTTCGTTTCTATTTATATATCACCATTTTAGATTTCATGTCCCCTATGAAACTAAGTTTACGATTATACTCTTATTTAGTATTCTTTTGAAGTCAAGGTTTTCAATAAATGAATGTAAATAATCTATTTTGATTAATTAAATTGACCAATGAACATGAATTAATCATTTAGTTTTCCTATGTTGGTCAAATTCATATTTCAAAGTTGTTAACTCTCAAAGGTAAAATAGGAAGAATAATGTTATTTATGTATTGGTTTTATGAATGACAAGTATTAAGTACATCTATTTTTAGTAAGGACGACATATAAATTGGATCACAGAAAGTAAAAAAATGCTTCATTTGTCCACTTTTATTTGTCATGTTGCGCTTTTGGAAAGTTAATTTGACTAATTTTTAAAGTTAAATTAGATTACATTAATTCGATAATTTAAACAAAAAAAAAAATTAGATATTCAAAAACTATACAAAAAGTACTATAAATTGTAATTTTTCGCATATCAATATGATAAAAAAAAATACATCATAAAATGTTAGTCAAAATTTTTATAGTTTGACTTTAAAAAAAGAAATTATGACAATTTAAAGTGGACGAACGTAGTAATAACACTTCTTTTTGAAAATTAAGAATATTTAGGCGAAGATTAAGGTCATAATGATAAAATTATGATAATCTGGTCGGCTGCAATGAATGTGAATATCATATTTTATTAGGTACATTTTATTTATTTATTTATTTATTTATTTATTTTTGTGGTAGAGGTTTCATGCTGTGCCGCCCTTTTACTTTTATGTGTTAGTAGTAGCTCATGTTGCCTATAAATGAAGGGATGGCGGCCAAAATACTATAATCAAAAATCTTTTACACACTGAAAAAAACTTTTGTTTTAGTCAGAATTTGCTTATTGTAATATTTTTGATAACGCTTGCATTCTTTGTATTACCGTTAAATTCTAAAGATCTGTCATAATAATGTCACCTAATATGTTTGCTAGTAATGTTGATGCACATCACGGCGAAAACGAAATGGCTGAAGGCGACGTCGACATCATTACTTCTGCCGGCCGCCGCATTCCGGCACATTCTAACGTTCTGGTATGCATACCGTAGCTTATTTCCTGGGGGTTCATTTTATCTGAAGATGTTACTGTTTAGTCAAATAATTTGTGAATCGTTAACTATTTTAGTTTTATAGTGCTATTTTTTTAATGGAAAATTTATATTTGAATTTATTGTTAAACTTAAACATCATATAGCCAATAGTTTGTCCGTGGAAAAGATGCGATTTTTCAAATGTGAATTGATCGAATTGTTTTCGAAATTTATTTGTTTTGCAATTTGGAAATACTGATCGATCTCTACCGAAAAACAATGTTAGGCTGCTGCTTCGACGGTTCTGGATAGCATATTAGGTCGTCGGCGACGGAGTTATGAGAAACCGATACGGATTCTTGGCGTCCCCTGCGACTCTGTTTCCGTGTTCGTACGATTTCTCTATTCCTTCAAGTGAGTTTCTTAATGAAAGTTCTTTTTTGATTCGTACATATTATATTGTATTGTATTGTTTTATGTTAAATTGATTATATTGTATTTTTTTATTGAATACATTATTTTTCAAAAAAGATAGGATACTTATAAAATTACTGTAAAAAATGTATGATAAATTAAGATTATTAGCTAATAAGTAAAAAAACATGATAAATGATAAATAAGATTATCTAATAAATAGAGACGAAATAAGAAATAAAGAAAAGGTAACAAAACGATTATACTGAATTGGTCCTAACATAAAATGAATTTTTTATTCGTTATCTAACCATGAATTTAATAATATAATACAAGTTATTTAAGTAACAATTATAACATTATTTTTAAACTATATAAAAACAATACGATACAACAGACATGCTAGTCGTTTGCTCGTGTTAAATTTGGCTGTCCATTTCCTTATTATCTTGCACGTAGAGCTGTCAATATGGGCTAGCCCATCCCATTCGGGCTAACTCATACAGGCTTTGATATTTTACGGGCCAGGCCAGGCTAGCCCATTTTTTATGTGGGCCAGAAAACAGTCAGCCCAACTCACAAGTACGTGGGCTACAGGCTTGCCGGGCCAACCCACTTTTTTAAAAGTTATATATTTTTTTATAGTTATTAAATTAAATTATAAATTATAATTTAAAAATATTATCATAAATATCAACAAAATAATATTACATGGTATTAATGTTACTACTTGTTAATCAAATCCACAAATAAAATTATCTTTATAATATTTATTAAGTTTTTTTCAAGTAAAAGTATAAATATCTAAATAGAAATATTAACCTAACTGTTTTGCAATGATCACAATAAAACACAAAAAATATGACAATATTCCAACCATAAAAAAGTAAAAAATAAACTCCTTAAAAAATCATGAAGCTTATGACGTATTTAACACTTCATGAAACCTATGGCATATCAACACTTCATGATCACCTTCATCAAACATATTTGAATCAACTTGTGGGAATGTTGTCTTAACATCTTCATTTTCATCTGCAATTTATATGCGGTTTCAATTAGTTAAATATTAAAAAATAACTAAATTGAGATTTATAATATTTAAATGTACACAAAAATATATTACCAGTTTGAGAAAAATCATGTAACCAGTTTCAAGTAGCAACAAGTGTTTGGAAATTTTCATGGTGGATGCAACTTTTATACTTAGTGATTTCCTAAAAAAATTTAAATAGATTTTGAGTTTGGATCTCTTTAATTTTAAATTTTAATATTATTTATATTTTTTAATTAATTTTTATTGGCCCACGGGCCGGCTCTACCTATATTTCTCAAGCTCCACAAATCAGCAGGCTTATTCAGGGCGGGCTAAAAAGTCTTTCTTTTAAATGGGCTTCAAAAATTTTAGTCCAGCCCTATTAAATTCCGAGTTAGGCCAGGCCAGCCCAACAGGCCTAGCCCATATTGACGGTTCTAGTTGCACGTGGCTCATTGATCACCATTAGATTCTTTAATCATATATATTACTTTTCCTCAATATTCTGTCCAGCACCAGCAAGACCATGTTTTCCGCTGTTATTGGAGTGTGTTACAAACAATTAAAAAAAAACTGATAGATTGTATTGTATTGTATTCCCTCCGTCCCATATTAGTTGATCATTATAGTAAAAATAGTTGTTCATATTAATTGATCATCTTACTTAATCAAGAAAACATCAATTAATATTTTCTTATATTATCCCGCAATTAATTTTTTTTGGAAGTGTTCACATTAATTTGTAAAATTCCCAAGAAGTTTTTTCAGGGGTGAATAAGTAATATTATCTTTTTATTTATGATTTCTTATCAATTAATAATGGAAAGGAGGGAGTATATAAATTTTTTTTATTGAACACTTAGTAAATCAGTGATTGTCAGCAGGAAATATCTGTTTTCCTGCTAATAGATGTTCTTTTTATGAAAATAAAGTATCGTAACTAAATTGCTCTCGATTGTTCAATCATTTGATAACCTGAGCTTTCGAAGAATATGGATCATGTCTAAAATGGTTATGTTATCAAATTGTGCTAACTAGGTGTACTAAGGAGCAGATGGAGAAACATGGTATTCATCTGCTAGCACTTTCTCATGTGTACTTAGTACCATGCCTAAAACACAGATGCACCAAAGCATTGGCCGAGCAATTGACAATTGAAAATGTAATAGATATGATTCAATTCGCGAGGCTATGTGATGCACCTCATCTCTACCTCAAATGTATGAAATTTTTGCGGAGTAATTTCAGGAAAGTTGAAGAAACTGAAGGCTGGAAGTTCCTTCAACATCATGATCCCCTGCTTGAGCTCGAAATTTTACAGTTCACTGATGAGGCCGAGTTGGTACGTAATATAACCCCCTTTAATTTTATGATCTAGCTCATTGTTTCAAGTTCAATCCAAAATTTTGATCATGGATATCACAATAGTATATTGAAGGTTCTCAATTGATTGTGGGATGATGAGATGAATTTAAAGTGTGCATAATGTTAAAAGTATTTGCACGGAATTATACACTATCAGATCATCTAAAATTAAAAGAAAGTATAGTCTATAGAGGTAACTATCCATAGTAGGTATGTCTAGTAACTTTTGAAAAATAAACCTACTACAATGTAACATGTCAAAATATACTCATAGCTCAAGAATTCTTTATACAATTGTAGTGTGTATGTCAGTGTATATAAGTTATATCCAATAGAAAAACTCAGATATGATGTATTACGTACAAATGCCAATACATCATCGCGTTTTTTCTGTCTTTTGTCATTATTCAGTGATGTGATTAGTGGTTTTCATTTGAAATTTGTTGTTTTAGCGGAAGAAGAGGAGGAGGAGACACACACGGGAGCAGAACTTGTATTTACAGTTAAGCGAAGGGATGGATTGTTTAGAGCATATATGCAGGGAAGGATGTACAAGCGTAGGGCCATATGACGAAGAGTACTCTTGTCAAAAGAAGTTGCCATGTAGCAAGTTTGATACATGCCAAGGCCTCCAGATTTTGATTAGACATTTCTCTACTTGTAAGAGAAGGGTAAAGGGAAGTTGTTCCCAGTGCAAACGGATGTGGCAGCTCCTAAGGTTACACGCATCGATTTGTGACCAACCTCACGATTGTCGAGTTCCTCTTTGCAGGTATGGCCATAAACTAGTTTATTGATCTATATGTACTTGTACAGATATGTCGTTCTTCGCCATTGCAATTGTGTCTTATAGTTGTAATTAGGTTACAATGCCACAATGTCATATACTCTATTTGATTCATGAACATACAATTGTGCCGTAGGTGAAAGATTACGTGGAATTAAGATTTCTTGCCTACTTACAAATACTGTTAAGGTTGTTCTTGATGTGAGCACGACCCATCCATGATCTAAGTAGTGATAATTGACTTCACACACGGTCCCACATCGAATAAAACGTAGAAAATAGCATAACCTTTAATGAAATGTTCATATGGATCACTAATTTCTAGTTGAATAATCTCTGTTTTTCCCCTGTTCCTAATGAAAATTTCTTCAAAGTGTCCTAATAATATTTTAACACGTTAAATCGGACAAAGTGATAGGGTCACAGAAATATCAATCTCATATAATGTTGTTTGCCTTTTCTATCAGTAAGGTCAATTTCACGAACCAATACAATATGATCATCCATTATTTTGTCTATGTGATATTAGCACTGTTTTCGTAGTTTCTTGCTCTTGTGATTCGATTAACATTGAGTATGTCGTTGTTGTTATTGTTTGTCATTGATCACGATTCATGAGTATCTTAACAACTCTGTTTACATTACAGAGAATTCAAACAGAAATTGGAAAAAAGGGGAGATGATGAGCTATGGAAATCACTTGTTAGAAAAGTGGTGTCAGCCAGGGCCATGACTTTTTTATCTCTGCCTAAAAGAAAGAGAGAAGAAGAAGAGCCAAGATTAAACTTGAGGGATCATCAAATAAGACGCTTTTTAGATTAAAAACTCAGTCTTAATAGTTACTCCCACCGTCCCTTTTTAGTTGTAATAGTTTTCTTTTTCAGAGTCAAATAATATGACAACTAAAAAGGAACGGAGGGAGAAGAAAATTATCGATTAGGCAGAATCAATCTTTCATAAGTCCCTACTGTAAAGGTTTTTCTTTGTTGATTAAATATGTACTGTGTTAATCAATTTGTTGTGCTTTAATGTTTTTGTAATAATTAAGAAATGCTCATCTTGTGAGATGTTTTTTTTTTCTGGTGAACTACATCATCTTTTGTTATTTTATTTTCAACTATTATATATATACTAAAAGGAGATAATTTATTTAATCAAAAAGAAATTTGTATAGTGTTTACAACTTTCCAGAGCTTTTACTAACAAAATGAAGATCAAACTAGTAGTACATATTTTGATTTCATTAATCTAAAAGGAAGGGAACCAAGCTTGATCTCGACGGTTGATTGTTTTTGGTTTCCCGATTCTCATCCACTGTCTAAGATACGTTCTATAGTTCGATTAATTTAAATTTATGTGCATAATTAATTGTCACTAAAGATATTTTTGGTGCAGTGAATTAATTAGGTACCAATCACATCTTTTACCCTAATTAAACATCCAAATCAGTTTCCTCCGACATACTACTTTTTATTATTATTAAAATTATTATTTAAATTGGTTGCTGATTGATTAATCTTCATGGCTTGGGTAGTGTCAGCCATTACGTAGTAGGTGATACCCTTTTGAAACATTTTAATAAAACAGTTAGAAAGTGTATTATAAAAATAATACTTATTTGCATAGTAGGACTGAATATGAACTGCCTCAGATAACAACAATATTGTCTAGGTATGCTCAACAACTTTCAACCACAAGTTGTTTTTCCGTCATCAGAGATAACAACTTTGCCTGCTATTTTCTCCCTTAGATACACCCATTCTTTATCCCTTGTCTCCTTGTTGCAGTCGAGATATTCTTAAGGGTAAAATATGAAGAAGTAAATATATATACGATGAAGTTAAAAGAAGTGTAACATCTGTTATACATAGTTATTAAAATAATATTATAATTATAATTCTGTATAGATATTTAATTTTTTGAAGAAGGAGATTTAAATGGATTTTTCAGCCTTATTTGGCTCTGCCCTTGCTTAAGGATACTTATATGTTAGTGACATTTGCTTTCACGATTTGAATAATTTGACTATTAAGCAATGATAAGATATACTTCAAAACAGCCTTTATATTCAGGGTTGACATATTTTGACCAGCGAAATTACGTAGCCAACAACCATCTATTATTCTTTCCTGCCTTTTTCTTATTTTCCTTTTTATTTTGATTTTTTGTTCGTTATGTATCAATATTGCAAATTGACTAGACTCGAATTCGTACCAATAAATTCCACATTATTCTTTTTGCCTTTGTATGTTTGTTATAAACATATAGAAGAATCAAAGACGGTCCCTCAATTGAAATTACGAACACTCAAAATTATATTTGTATCAAAAAAATTTAGTTAATCCACATTATACGTACCACACGTATACTAAAATTAAAAGAACACACATTTTTGTCTTTTGACATTAAATAAATATAATATTACATACGTTATAACTATTGTTGAGTACCCTGAGGAAGGTACCGGATCGTAGGAGGAGCTATTACCTTCCTTCTAATCGGTTTTTTTGGTGTCGTAGGGGAGGGATTGACCTCAAAATGATGAATGAGATTGTGGCACTTGTATTATCATTCTTTTTTTAATACAATTTTTTACACTTACACAACATACACTAAATTAGTAAATATAAATAGTAGAGTATATTTCATTCTAATAATGAAATCATATCATAACACAGAATTTTTAGATTTAAATTCTGAATATAACTTTTAAAAATTACTTAAGACATACTATTACGATCAGGCTACGCCGTACGCGGCTACCACCATCGTCCGCCATGACGCCAGGTGATATACATTTTCCCTTATTACTATGATATATTAAACGTAATTGAATTTTTATTTTAGTTTCTAGAACCATAAAAAAAAACGTATGAATTTCAGCTTCTTTTAATAATATTCCCTAGTCTTTGCTCTAATTAGAATTTTCTCCCTCAAGTAAGAATATTATAATATTATGCATTTGGTCTTTAATGAAGAAATTAAGAAAAAATTGCATTATGGCATGCAATGGAAATATTTATCTCCTTGAGTGATACAAGGTCAATATAATTATTTTCTAGTATTCCCTTTTGTCCAATTTATATAATGTAAGTAGATTTAAAGAATCAAATAAAAAATTGATGATGATTTTTATTTTTCAAATAAAAAAGTATCTGAAGATATTAAACTTTCGCTATATACGAGATTCTAAGAAGTATTAGACCACAAGATAATATACACACTGTAATTTCTTTTGTGGACGCTGAGTTAAATCTTTCATGTATATATAAATTTTAATAACTCAATTAATTAACTATCTAAATTATTATTTCCTATTTCCCGTCCCTGCCCCAATAATTTTTTCTATTAAAAAAAGAATCTTCCACGTGCCGCCCTTTTGTTTTTGGAGTTGGCAAATGGAAACTCTGCGCTGCTTATATATAGAGAGGGTTGGGCAAATGCTTTCTCCAAAAACTAAAGGAAATTTTCTGAAATTTCCAATTACTCTGTCCCAGGCAAACGATAATCATCAATCCAAAAGCAACTGTAATCACCATGTCATCCCCTAACTTTTCAGGCGATATCAATCTATTTTCCGGCGAAATGTCTGAGGTTGATATCCAAATCGTCACCTCCGGCGGCCTCCGCATTCCGGCGCATTCCGCCGTTCTGGTACGAAGACCTAAAACTAATCACATGAAGTCTTAAATACTCGTTAAATCTATCAATTGCATATTAATCTAAAACTATGTCAATCTATAATATGAATCATTTATAATCAATTCACACTGTGAAAACTCCGTGTTTGGCTGTCGAAAAATTGATATTAGTTGCAAATGATGTTGTGAAAAAGTACTGATCTATGAGAAACGTATTTGCAGGCTGCTGCTTCGACGGTTCTGGAGAACATGCTAGTTCGGCCGGGAAAGCGGCAGGGCTCCGAGAGAACGATTCGGATTCTTGGCGTGCCGTACGACGCCGTTTCCGTGTTTATCCGGTTTCTCTATTCTTTCAAGTGAGTACCCGAAATACACGCAAATCCGTTTTGCTTTCTTCATTTATTATTTTGATTTTGATAATCGTGTTCAAACTTCGAATCTTATTGGCTCCATCCAAGCTGGAATTTGACCACAAGTAGTAGATTATTTTAGGATTAAGTCACGGTTCCTTTGTTGATTAGAAAATAGGTAGTTGGTATTCAAAGACTAATTTGCGTGCTTTCTTAATTGCTTGCGTGAATTCTTTAATCATATACTATTTGATGTTTTGATTGCTTCATATTGTGTTGGCCGCCTGATAGATGCCTCGACCGACATCTTCGTTGTCATTGAAATGAATTACAAAAGTATTTACGTTATTTATGATTGTTAAACAACCAATATTGTTGACTTATTTGTAGCATGTTACTTACTCTCATATGGTCTAAAAGCTAATTAAAATATCAGAAGCTTTTAATCAGTTAAACCCTTGCAAGAAAGAATGCTTAGAGTGACCAAATTGTCCTTGTATTTAGGTGCACTGAAGAGCAGATGAAGAGACATGGGATCCATCTGCTAGCACTTTCTCATGTGTACTTGGTACCACAGCTGAAGCAGAGATGCACAAAGGGGTTGGCCGAGCGATTGACGATTGAAAATGCAGTGGATGTGCTTCAACTTGCGAGACTATGTGATGCACCAGATCTATACCTCAAGAGTATGAAATTTTTGTCAAGCAATTTCAAGAAAGTTGAGGAGACTGAGGGCTGGAAATTCCTTCAACATCATGACCCCTGGCTTGAACTTGAAATTCTACAGTTCATGGATGAGGCTGAGTTGGTACGTAATTATAACGTAATTGGCATACATTCCTTATTTTCTAAAAAAGTTCTCTTGGAATTCATGCTATAATTTTTATTGTTGTCAATTGATCATGAAAGATATTAAGTTAGCCATGAAATCATTACATGGCATTTGTTTGCATCTCTTTTATTAGTCAAGTGGCTGTGATTAGTGATTTTGCATTGTAAATTTCTCATTATAGCGGAAGAAGAGGACAAGGAGACACAAACGGGAGCTGAGCTTGTATTTACAACTAAGTGAAGCGATGGATTGTTTGGAGCACATTTGCACTGAAGGATGTACTAGTGTGGGGCCATTAGATAAAGAACCTTCCGTCAAGAGGCAGCCATGTAGCAAGTTTGATACCTGCCAAGGGCTTCAGCTTCTGATTCGACATTTTGCTACTTGTAAGAGAAGGACCAATGGAGGTTGTTTGCGATGCAAGCGCATGTGGCAGATCCTAAGATTACACGCATCCATTTGTGACCAACCAAACGATTGCCAGGTTCCCCTTTGCAGGTAACCACCACTGACTACTGAATAACTAATTTTTTTAATCAATTCCTGTATTATTGTTGATCACTTTAAGAGTGAATCTCATTGATCGTAGTAATTAGAATATGTACATCATTTTAGAGGTGTCATTGGTTGAGGCATGTCTATCTTGCTGAATTTGAATGATGGCTCTCGATCCATATACCAACATGGTCTGTCATGTCCATTCTTGAAAACTTCATGGGTGGCACGTCAGAGCTCGGATGTTATTAGGTGATTTGTCTCGATAGAAGAAGCCAACAAATCAACTGTCACATTTTTTTGTCCATTTTTTTCTCCAATTCATGATTGAGCCATTAACTAACACTGTTGGATATTTCTTTTCATATGGGTCTTAAATTTGTGATGTAGACAGTCACAAGGAGGTTATCAATCCTGTACTCTCTTATAAGCTGGTCAAGATAAATCAACACTTAGTTACTGCTTAACACAAAATTGTTTGCTGGCATGTGATTTTGTTCAATT